CTCTCCGCCTCAGTGCCTGTGGCTCCCAATGTGCCATGCTATAGGCCAGCTGAACATGCCACCGTTCCTGCATGTGTTTTTAATGCGTGCCGTCCATTCCCTCTTACTGGAGTATCTCTCTCCATCCTCTCCCCTTGTCACCCTTGTCTTTGCCCTCTAAAAATGTAGGAGTCAAATGTCATCTCCTCTAGGAAGTCCTTTGTAACTTTTCTGGCAGAATTAAATGCTGCTTCCTTCATGCTTCCCACGTCTGTTTCCCCTGGTTTCTCCATTTTGAGGCCTTAGAATACAGTAGGTGCCTAATAATGGTTAATGAAAGAATAGTTCAGGAAGAATACAGAGGGGATCCACAGAGCTGAAAGGGTGAGAGTATTCCCAGTGTAGCCTGAGTGTCTTGGTGTAATTCTTCGGGCTCTAGGCTCTTTTAGGCATAAGTGCACTGTGGGCCTGAGGGAGTTTCTGTCTCAGCTTTTTCTGTTTTCACAGTTGGAGTCCACATTAAGAGAGAAGTCTCAACAGCTTGAGAGTCTTCAGGAAATGAAGATCAGTTTGGAAGAGCAGTTAAAAAAAGAGACTGCTGCTAAGGTAGTATTTTCATTGGTCATTTAATTTTGAAAAGTAGGGCTAAGAAGGTAGGATCCCATCTTGCATGTTAAGAAAAAATATTGGTGCTTTGAAGTGTCACCTTTTAAAAAGTTGGCAAGACTGACAGCTTGTGAAAAGAAAAAAATTAAACGAATTGATCTATTCCAGCTGGGTTAAATCTTTTCTGCCAGGTCCGGAGGCCTGTGTCATGGGCTAGCTTCCGATAGTAGGTAGGCAATCAGGGCCATTGACCAAGCCTGGGCACTGCCCAGTTAGAAGCAGCTTTGAAAATGTCATTCCATCTGACTGATATATCAAATCCTAAGAGAGATGGCATCAAACCAGGTTTGCCGCCTACATTTTGATGAGTTCCGTTAGAATAAACGTGCATGTTGTGGGGGTAGTGAGCTGAGGGGTCAGACCTTAAAGCACAGACAGTGTTGTAGAACTGCTTGTTTTTAGAGGCTCCCACACATCCTGCTGAAGTTTTCTGAGAGAGAGATTGGGGATAGCTGGGGCTGCCTGGGGCGTAGTCACTAAGTTTCCTGGTGGGTGCTTGACTGTGGATGTTGTTAGAGGAAATCCTGTGTGCATCCCTGTCGCTGTGACAGATTCTGATCTCAGCAACTGTTTTGATGATTGATGATTGTCACTGTCACCAGCTGCTGGGGGTGGGGGAGGGCAGCACTTTAATCCATTTCTTCCTCTGGCTTTTCACACCCAGTTCATCTTAGGACCTACAGCAAGCAGTCCAGATGGCTTGCACACTTGCCCTATAGATAAAGAGATTGGTCGTGTATAGGAGTATGATGGATATCCACCCACCTTGCTGCCCTAGTAGTTGGTAACTACAAGTTACTAGATGTCCTAAGTAATTCGGCCCTTTGGCATTAATCTTCATTCAAAACTTGTATTTTTTAGGCTACCGTTGAACAACTAATGTTTGAAGAGAAGAACAAAGCTCAGAGATTACAGACAGAATTAGATGTCAGTGAGCAAGTCCAGAGAGATTTTGTGAAGCTTTCACAGACCCTTCAGGTGAGGCGTTTGGGGAACCACATACAGAGCACGAAGGCAGTTTTGGGGGACAGAACCTTGCCAATCCCTGACTTGACCACTGGCAGTAGCTAGAGGTTTAGAGACTGGCTGCTCCTACCTCCACCCCAAATGTCTGCCTCATCATTCAGGCCAGAAACCTGGTGTGTTCTTCACACTTGGCCCTTTTTTCTTTTTCTCTATACCTTGCCAATTTTGCCTCCTTACGAGGAAAATATAAACTCCTTAGCATACTATGTAAGACTCTTCCCAACCAGGCCTACCCCTGTATTTTGCTCATCTCTCTGCCTTGTTTTACATTCTCATGTTTAACTGCTTGTGGTTCCTCGCCCACAGTGTGGTCTTCCGTCTGGTAAGCATCCTCCTCTCATCCCCTCCTGACTCCTTTCTTTCAAGGCTCAGCGTAGGTTTATCCATTCCATGGAGCCCTTCTAGGTCCCTGAGCTGGGCTTAAGTGCCCCCTCCCTCTGCCATGCTCCCTTGGGCACTCCATGAATGCCTGTAATGACAAAATGACATTTAGAATATTGTGCTAAAACTAAGTTTTTTT